GCGGCACGCCATTGATATTGAAGCAATGACCCGACATTTTGAATGGCACACAACTCATTCCAACATGAAAAGGCTCATATTCAAATGCCGTAATCATAACGAGGGATGCAATGTTAGGATTCGGGCCATCAACAGCAAGAGACACGGCCACTGGGTCATATCCCGTGTGGTGAACACACACACATGTGTGTCATCCATAACATCCCAAGGCCATCGACAGTTGAAATCCAGGGTGGTTGTTGCGGCTATCAAGCATCTAATTGAGCAAGATCCTGACCTGAAGGTGAAAGTCATAAATGCTGACATTGCAAGTCGTTATTGTTATATGATTAACTATACGAAGGCATGGCATGGAAAGCAAAAAGCTCTGGCCGCCGTATTTGGTGATTGGGAAGAATCATATGTGTTCCTTCCCATGTTGATTTTGGCATTGGAGGCGTCTAACCCTGGCATTGTTTTCTCCCCTCGATACCAAGATGAAGAGATACAACCGCCAGAGCCAGGTAACAAACGCCATTTCAGACGACTTTTTTGGGCATTCAAGCCATCTATTGATGGTTTTGGCTTCTGTGTCCCTGTGATCCAAGTGGATGGTACATTCCTTACCAGCATGTACAAGGGCACTCTCCTGATTGCCAATGGGGTGGATGCAAACAAATAAGTTTTTCCTTTAGCCTTGGCCATTGTTGAGGGAGAGAATGATGATAGCTATGGATGGTTTTTCCGGCAAATTCCGCTCCACGTCACTAGGAGGACGAACCTGACAATAATCTCTGATCGGCACGCCGGCATTAGAGCTGCCATCTTAGGGTTGGATCCAGCCTGGAAGTGGTCCCAAAGGTGGTGCATACGACACTTCAAGAGCAACTGGAACCATCATTTCAAGCGACAGAAGCTTGCTGATAATTTGTGGTGGATTGGTAAGCTCTCTATTGGTTGTTTAATTTTGTCAAATAACAATATCTTATATAAAATTCAATGGTACTCTTGTTAGACTCTTTTTAAAGAGATGCATGCCTAAGGAAATGGGGTTTAAAGTGATTATCATGGTCCTCCCATTTCCTGGGAAAATTTGGTTTTAAGTGATCATCGGATCCCCCCTTTTTATGTTAACCAGGTTGTGTTTCTAAGGAGATGTATACCTCTCCTAAGAGTCTAACGAGAGTACCTGTTGGTTGTTCGAATTGTACTGAATTGACGAATTATGACTAACGTAATAATTTTCTGTGTGTTCCTCAGTTGTTGCATACCAAGCGAAAAAATTCCATTAGAAGTTTCAGAAGATGCGCGAGTTATGCCGTGAAGGGGCATAGTGGCTGGATGGACACGACCTATCCATGTGGACATTTCATAAAGACGGAGGTACAAGATGGGGTATTGCCACACGAACTCAAGTGAGTGTATCAACTCTGCCTACAAGGGTGTTCGGGCGCTTCCAATCTCTGCCATTATAGAGATGACCTTCTAGAAAACGAATGCATGGTTCGTCAATCGACTACACTGAGCAAGGACGAACGAGGAACAAGGAAAGGTCCATTCCTATAAAGTCACAGAAATAATGGAGCATGACAATCGCAAGAGCAGTCGACACAGTGTAACCGTTATGAATCGGGAAAATGGCGAGTTTAGCGTGACGACCGGAACTCGGGAGGATGGTAGACGCGGGGGCCATCGCCATGAATTTTTGGTAAATTTCAGGACAAAACTTGGTGCGTGCTCATGCCAGAAGTATCAAGGGAGAGGGTGGCCATGTTTTCATGCAATGGTCGTAATTAAAAACAGGAGCAAAGACCCCCGTCACTTCGTCAGTCCATTCTTTAATATTGACTGACTCAAAAATTGCTATGGACGGAGTTTCCGTGCATTGCATGATGAAGCTTATTGGCCGGTGTACGAAGGAAAGTTGATCATCCTGCCGTTCGGACAAAGGCGTGAAGCGGGTCGGCCGAGGAAAAAGTGAATTCAGAACGAAATGGATCAAAGTGGAAGACCACCACGAGGCCCAAGACGATGTTTAGTATGCAGAGTTACAGGGCATGATAAACGAAGTTGTCCCGGTCCAATTGGTCCGCAAAATCCGGGTCCTGATGTGGGGGGCTCAGCTAATGCGAAAAAGTTTGCGGTTATCATTTGTTGGTATTTGTTATGTATGTTTTCACTTATTGTCGGAGTTAGAGTTATGATGCTTGGAACTTACGTGTTTGGCAAATAACCGTGAATTAACACTCAAGCCTTAAGTTAACACAAAAAAAATGGAGAAAGCCAAGTACATAGATCTATAAAAAAAAACTAAAACAACACTCAATTAAATAAACCAAAATAGGAGGAAGGGTTTCAAGTTCATATAATTAAAACATAACTAAAAACAACACTTAAAATGATTGGTACTTTCACCCCCAAAACACTGTGGATGAAATGTTCCCAACCGGTCATACCGTCACGATCCTCGGGGGATGATCACTCACACACACCGCTTTGCCGTCGATGGGAATATGAGTTAGGATGGTGATGTCCTTTAGCGTGATGGTGCACTCTCCTTCGCGAAAGTTGAAACAATGTGTCTCCTTTCTCCATCTCTCCACCAATGCAGTGATTAGTTGGTGATCGACTTTTATGCCTACAAAATGCCTAATCGACTCCAACCGTACCCTTTTGAGAAAGGTCAAGATAACTGGGTTCCATGGGAGCACATTGGTCGTACCCCTGTAGCGGAGTATTTGTTGTGCCTCCCAGCGAAAATTTCCACATTATTTATGATATATTAGTAACTGTTTTTTCTTATAACTAAATTAGTTAAAATTAATGATTTAATTTCGACCATAATTTTATTATAAATGTATTATTAACATATAATCAAATTTAAATAATTGATGATTTTTTCCAAGATATATACATATTATCATAAGACAAACATACTCAACTAATTGACATAAATAACATTCTAAATGAATAATAATTTAAAGAGATACATACATATTCAAACATTTGAAATTAATAAAATTCATATAAGTACACATAAACATAAATCGTATTGGTTGTTTGGTAAATAATTTAATCGTATTGGTTGTTTTAAATAATTTAATCGAATACAATGCAACACTCGTTAGACTCTTAGAAGAGGTATACATCTTCTTAGAAACGCAACCTTTTTAACAGAAAAAGGGGGGATCCGTGGATCTCTTAATACCCGATTTTCCCAGGAAATGGGAGGATCATGATAATCGCTTAAAACCCCATTTCCTTAGACGTACATCTCTTTATAAAGAGTCGAAGTAAGTGGCGCTATGTATTCGATTAAATTATTGAAAACAACCAATACGATTAAATTATTTCAAATTTATTTTATATTCCACTAAGTACATTAGCGAAATAAAAGAAAGACAAATAATGAAGAAATTGTATGTACCTAGTGATCGTCCCAAACATCCATTGAACGATGGTTGGGTTGGTCGTACAAGTCGGTTGGATCAATGGTCCCCGATCCAAATAGTATCGTTGGTTGTATATATACACGTTGTCCCCAACCTACGAGAGAATAACAACAAGGTTAGTACATAGATTAATTAAAAAGCTTATAACAAAAACAAAAATTGATAAGAATAATCAGTACGTACCGCTTGAAATTCATCATAATAAACTCCCTCTCCTTGGAACCACTCGTCCATTTTTTTCGCGAAAGTCGGACAGAAATTCGGCGGGTTTTGAGGGAAAAAACAAAGAAATGTTTTCTAATGGCAGATCGGACTTAGCCGCAACCAACAGACCACTATTTCCTAGGCTTTTGGGAGGGGAGGGGATAGATAGATAATTTTAGAGAGAGAGTGAAGAATGGGTTGTGGTGTGAAGAAATGAGAGGGGGGGAGAGGGGAGGGGGTATTTATACTATTCAGACCGGACCCTCCAGAGGCGGTCTGGTAATTTTTCTCCTCCTGAAACCGCACCCTCCCGATGCGTTCTGCGTTTCTCGAGGCGGTGACCGCACCTGCAGGCTGCGGTCTTCGATCCATGGCGCGGATCACTGAGGTGGCGTGCGGTACGCCGTTGGATCGCCACCTCATCCAACGCTCTCCAAGGCCGCAGGCGAGGAAACATAAACCGCACCTGCCTTGTGCGGTTCCCAGGCTGACGTGGCACGAAAATGATGCTATTTTTGTAATTTTTATGGGTTGGGTGCTATTTTTGTAGTTTTTTTAAGATGCTATTATTGGAAAAATCCCGAAGAAAGGGAAGGGTTGGGTTTATGACGTGGTGGGTCGGATTTTAAATCTTTTTTTGTTGTTAAAATTAGCTTATTAGTCACTTCTGTTAGCCACATCAACAAAAAATTGACGGTGTTAACCGAAGCTAACGGAGAGTGATCAAATTTGGATGGTTTGGTTAATTTTAGTGACCACAAATGAAATTAAATATTTTTAGTGATAAATATGACCGGTTTTAGTCATCTCATCTCAGTGACCAACCTTGCAATTAACCGAATATATGAGTGTCATAAACTCTAGAGACACATCATAGTTAGCCCTGTACCGAAGACTTAAGACTCATATGACCAATTAAGTTGAGAAACCTATTATATTAATACATGTTATGATACAAATCTCAACTAAAGTTTTTTTTTGCTTTAAATCAACATTCCGGCCAAAGAATTGGTTCAAACTAGTTATAATTCGGGGAAATTATGTAGCCGCATATATGGATTGAGAAAAGAAGGATGGAAGGTTCTTGAAGGACGGACTGGTTGGATGGAAGGTTTTTCACTTTTGGGTTAGATTGAATTTCCGTCGGAAGCATGGTCGGGTGAAAAAGTTGAATCGGAGAAGAGAAATGGGGTGGTCGGAATTTGAATTCTGGCAGAGCTAGGCAAGGCCGGAGGTCGCGAGGAGGGGAAGGAGCAGCTTTCATGGGAGGCGGAAGAAAAGGCGAGCTAGCAAGGGATTTTACCCTTTTCACTTATTTGTAATTTATTTATTTATTAAATTTTCCACATCAACTGTCATAGTATCATGTCATCACTTACTCTATTTTCTGTTAACCACTAATGAAAAACATAACTATTGGTGTCATATCAAAAGTTATGTAACAATGACAAATTCACTAAAGATTGGCCCGATATAAAAATGAACTCAAAAGAACCCAAAACAGAGAAAGAACAAATATACTCTGCTAAGATCCATCTTTTATTCTTCAACATTTTGGTCTTATGTAAATACTAGTGCTGCTCGACAAAGTTTATGTTCACCTGTACAAGGTAGTTACAATTTGGTGACTTGAAACAAAAGTGTGAGCTCCCCCAAAAACACCTATCCTGCTCATTCTTCTTATGTATATTCCACACAAGCCAGTAGTGAAGGCATAGCTCCTGGAAAATACTATCGACAAGTCGAACGAATGCAACTCTGTAAAGTCTCGGTCTCAATTAGTAAAGTCAGCACCAGAAAAGGGTCGTCCTCTGGTTCCCTGAAAGAAAATCAAACATAAAAGGAGAATAGTTCAGCGGATTCGTATACTGCCTGTTCAGTAGGCACGCCTGTTATGACCAACCGTCTCAATTAGTAAAAGCTTACCGTGTCAAACAAGCTACCAATCAGCCTATGTCACAGCCATCTCCGGAGCAGCAGAACTTGCCCCAGCAGTGTACTTAACAGCTTTACCACTGTTAGCACCATTTTCATGTTGATCATCCTCATTGAAACCGAACTCCAGCTGCCTTTCAACAGATTTCAAGACAGGCAGCCTCTTGGATCTCAGTCGATATGGAGGAGATGCATTGAATTGCTTTCCATTTGGCCATGTTTTACTACTAACACTGCCATTATCATCTACCACCAAACTAGGACTACTACTACTACTATGCAAACTTCCCTCCTGAGACGGGCTCTGGTTGGGTTTTATACTCCCTGTTGATGTCCCCTCCACTCTGGGAAGTTCAGGAACTCGAGCTAGTGTCTTCCTCTTCCTGAATATGGACGGTGTGTTGGGGTAACTCAGGGCAGCAATTCTCAACCTTGTTTCTGGGCTCTGTGAACTTACCAGGCCACCACTACTACTAATCACACATTGTGGGGTGAAGAACCCAGCTGGAGAAGATATTATTGGACTGGGATTGCAGTCCAGAGAAATACTACAAGTTTCCATTTGTGGTGGCTCGTACCATAGAGAACCATAGGGCGGGGGTGTTGCAGCAACAGGGGGAGACCCAGCAGTCCTACCTTTATTCATGTTGCCATTCAACCCACAAGCCTCAAAATTTTGTCTTAACTCAAGCTTGCAGCAACTAACATCTAAGGGCGACTGTAATTGATGATGTTCCACACCAACATCAGAATCAGCAACCGAATTCTGCAGCTGAGCACTCGGTGAGTCCAACTGATCCTTGCCATCCTCCTCTAGCCTGCAAATGTCAGTAGTCCCTGATGAGGTTTGGGCAGTTGAATCAGATTCTTTACTCATTCTGGTTGGACCATGTGCTGCACCATTCTGGATTTTCGGAACCAAAGGTAGTTTCCCAGTAACCATATAAAATTCCAACTTTTTCTTCAAGGAGCTGTTCCAGTGATTTTTAATTGAGTTGTCAGTCCTGCACCACACAGAGTATCAATTAAAACTACAGTATCCTGTGATTCTCATGCCTCATTTAGGCTCACACTATTACAATGATGGAGCATCATGCATCCAGAAGATTTGCAGGAAAATAACAAAAGACCAGAGAATGCTTGACAGTAAACAGGAGTCTCTTAAAAAATCATTGATACCAGACTCAATTTTAGTGCAAATCAAGTGACTCATGCTAGCATGGGAAGATGTTGTCTGAATGCAATTTTGATACTATTGACTATTTGGATAATGGAGGGCTACATTAAGATCTCATCCACAATTTATATTGGTATTAGCTAAGTCTGTAGCTACCAGAAACCCAGGACCAGTAGTGTATTAAAAAACTTATTTAAACAGTAATACATGAACAAAAGACCACACCTCGAATGCTACAACAAATTACATGTTCTTCCTTCTATCTTCCATATTTCAGATGAAAGATTTCTGGAGTCTGAAATATCGTACAATCAAAGCTACACTCACAAAATCATTGCAGATCAAGTAAGAATTCAAACCTTCCAGGTAGAACCTTAGCTATTTCAGCCCATTTGTTGCCATACATCCGGTGGGCATTTATGAGCGCCATTTCCTCTTCTAGTGTCCAGGCCTCTTTTTTAATATTAGGATTGAGATGATTGTGCCACCTAAAATTGTTGAATTAGTGGGGTTCCATATTAGAATATCACAACCATTGCATAATTAGTACGAACCTAGAATAGAGACCATACATACAGTACAACTTGATCATCCGAAGTTGGCAATTCATACTAAATTGACATGGTCATTTTACATACAGCAAGACTCACCTCTCCCGGCACTGCTTTCCTATGCGGCCAGGTAAAGATTTCGCTATGACAGACCATTTTGTTGGTCCGTATTTTGCCACCAACTTAATAATTTTATCATCCTCCTGAAAGAACAAATTGAGGAAATTTCTCACCTCTAGAATACATAATAAGATAGACCAGCTGAATAGAAGACCAAAGTTAGAAGAATCAAACCTCTGGAGTCCAGGGTCCTTTAACAAGGTCAGGGTTCAGAACCTTTTGCCACCTATGGAGACATTGGACTTCTGATCTATCAGGAAAATATTCAGCTGCAGGCACAAACATAGAAAGATAAATTTTGTTATGTGATTGCTTGAAGACCAAATGACATGTTCATTTATGCAAATTTTCTTCATTCATCACCACCGTCAAGATATCAAAATATTTGAGGCGTCGCTTGGACATTACAGAAGAAGACTTAAAAAAAAAAACTTCAATCAAACAGTCATGCAATCAGCTGCCTTTCTACCATATCTATTATGCCACAAAGGTACAAGAAAGTTTGCACATTCTGACTGTTCAGCTACACAGTTTCACAACTCAGTAGAACATGAGAATTCTATTGTTTCAACAAACTGGGAATCTACAAACACAAATAATCAGACTGCATCCTGTGATCTGGCAAATACAGCAGCAGAAAACCACTGGGTTCCAGTGTTTATCCCTAGCATTATTGTTTACTAGAGTTATGTGAGTGTTATCACGTATCAACAATACAGCGAAAAGATAAATTTCGAGAGAGGCACGAACTATGGCACTTATTGCGAATCACAACAAAAAAAGGCAAGGAAAGAAATAAACCTATTTTCTTCCAACTCTTCCCCTTGTACTTAGCAACAGCCTTTCTTAATGTCTCATCCTGAAAGCATTAAAAACATAGTTAGTGATAATCAACAATTTGCAGCCATGAGCATGCAAGACGCCCTGATTCAAGAAGCAAATAAAATAGTAAATTAAAACTATAATGATCCAAGTGTACTTATAACAGCTGATGGACATATATAAGCAAGATGGTGGTTAGTTAACTTGTAAAACCTGGTAATACTAACCTCTTCAGGGGTCCAGCCACCTTTAGCTCGTCTTATCGGGCCAGTGGTTCTCCTGCAAGACAAATTCACCAAACATTCCTCATGAACATTCATATCAGTAATACAATCTCAAGTAGTCTAACGAAGAATGTTTAATACATTATATGCAACTCATCGAATTTGAAATTAAAAGGCTGTTCTTGCCCAGTTAAGCGAGAACTATCATATAGGTAAACATATACCGCAGACTGCTAGCAAGGAATTGAAGAAGAAGGATGAGAGGTCCTAACCTATGTGTTGGTGATGCTGTGGCTGGACTTGATACTCCAGGAGACTTGTTAACGGCACTGCCACTTCCCTCAGAGACAGAAGAGCTTGAAGCAGCTGTTTGTTGCTTATTCTCAAGGCAACACTCTTCCACCTTGGCCTCATCCATCTTTCAGCTTCACAAACCGAATTCCTGAAGCAAAAAGTAACGGACACGAAAACATTTAACCTGTGGAAACCGATTATGCAACACGAACGCTGGAGTAAAGGATCGCAGTAAGGTAAAGCAATCCCTAAAGGCCTCAAACTTTGACCTGTTCTCTTCGATCCCAGACATCCAACTGCCGCAACAAACAACACCCAGATCTTATGAAAAAAACATCAAATTTGATCCATCGAGAACAAAAAATCATCCATAATTCTAGGGTTTTCGAATAAATAAAGAGCAAATTCCCATGGAATCGCAGCTAGTTAAACCTCGACAAATTACGGTAACACGATCAGGCTCAGCAAGGGCACAAAAAAAGGGAAGACCACACGGAGTATTGATTTGTAAGAACTGTGGAGGAGGAGCAAACTGACCTCTGCTTGCGAAGGAGTGGCGGGAATCGAAGCCCAGCTCATTAACAGAGACAAACCCTTTTCAGAGGAAGGCAGAAAGAAACCGTCTTTTGTTGTGAGTTTCTCTCGTCTCCTCGCTCCGCTACGGAAACGAAGAAGGTTTTTGGCTTCGGAAAATCCTCGCCCGTTGAAACAAAGGGGGGCAATAAAAAAGAACGGAAGAAGGTGAAGGGGTGGAGAGAGAGAGGGGGAGAATTAAAAAAATAAAAATATATAGAAGACAGTAGATTTCATATGTAACGAATATATTAGCAGTAGTACTGACCGTCTCCGTTACTTGCCGTTATATTTCTGTCGAGAGGGCGAGCGAGCGGGCTGCTCTCCTGAATCTACCCTCTTTCCCTTCAGCGGTTTCTAATTTCTACTGAAACTGAAGAAAGAAAACCCAATTGATTAACGGCGGCTGACGGTGCCAGTTAAAGGAACGAAAAGTTTGAACCTCAAACGGCACTCTTCCTTCCTCAGGAAGCAGAAATGGGGAAAAAACGTTAATGCCTCCCTCGGCCTCGGATCGGAGGATGGTAGGGTGTGAAGCCGCGGGGTTTGCTTGGCGGGTTATTTTGGACCGTTGGATCGGATTAGGCGGCATTGGTCCACTACATTTTCACATTGTCACAACTCACAGCCATGTTTTTTTTTTTTACCTTCAACCTGAGATCGGATTTTATTAATCAGTCCACGCGGTTACACTATCCAGCTGAAACTGATTAACAAGAAAACTCGGTGGCATATCCAGCCAGACAACTCGCTCATTCCTCCGTATGTCTGCATGAGCCATCATATGGGCAACTTGATTTGCTTCTCTATTTGTATATTGGCAGCAACCATTACCAGTAGCCTCTAGGGAACGGCAGATGCTTCTGCACAACACCCCTGTCTCATCCATTGCGATCATTGGGTTATGTACTTTGTGCACTAACATCTAGCAATCTGTTTCAAGTTTAGCATTTGGTAGCCTGAATTGGACCGCCAGTTGTGCCCCGAGCTCCGCCGCCATTGCCTCTGCGGCCTCCGGCTCCCACCTTCGTGGAACTCTTTTAGCAGTGGCCAATATAAATCGTCATTCGGAATCCCTTATCACCACCCCTAATCATGCCTCATCGTCGGCTAGAATTCCCGCGTCAGTGCAGACCGAGGTGGCTCCCTCTGTCGGTTTCTTCCATCCCTGGCGAATAGGCTCTGAACGCAGCTCCTTCCTGCACTGCTGGTTCTGTTTATACTCTTTCGTAAGAAGCTTAGCGTGTGTTGGTATCTCCTCTTCGGGTAACTTGGCTCCATTAAATAGATGAGCGTTACGTTCCTTCCAGAGATACCAAAGTACAACGCACCAACCTTCCACTTCCGTCTCCGATCTTTGTTCCAGCACTGTCGCTAGCCACTCATAAAAAGACCCATTCCCCTTCAACGCAAAGACACCTCTGACTTCTGTCTTTCTCCAGATTCGGGAAGTCCATTCACACTCCATAAATATATGTGTTTGTATTCCCGCTTATCACAAAAGGGCCCGTTTATTACGGTTAGTTGGATCGTCGCGTTACTTATAACAATGTTTCTGTATATCAGAGTTGAGGGTTATTTTTAATGATTTATAAATCGTATCGTATCGGTAGGTGGTATTCAGTTGCATAAAATGGTTAAACTAGGGTTTCAATATAAAATATTCTATCTTTTTTCTGGTATAACCTCCATTACGGTTTAACAATCCTTGATTATTTTTCCATATATGTGATATTTTTTAAAATGAAGGGTCGTAATTATAAAAATTTAATGACATTTTTATTCAAGTAATATTGTAGATGAACAAACATACATTTTTACTTTTGTATCTGATTCAGGCTCAAATGTACACATTTTACCCCTCATTTCTTATTCGTTTAGCCTAGTATTTCATCGTTCCTCGACATATTTCACGCTAGGTTGTGCTTGTTTTGATACATTCCAGGTCCTAGCACGTGTGGAAGGGTCGAGGACGAGTTTTGGGATATTTGGAGGTCAAAAAGCACAAAAACCGAAGAAAAGTCCGACGTCGCCTCATATCAGTGAAGTGAAAGCGTCCCAGGACACAGTTGCAGTTCATGGCCGGACAAGGCAGTTCACGGTTTCCTAAGACCGTGAACATGAACCACAAACCGTGAACATTGAGCAGTCCAGCGAGGTTCGTGAAATTACTGACGACAAGGCAGTTCATGGTCTCTAAGTCCGTGAACTAGGGCCATTGACCGTGAACCCAGGCGAGTGAAGCGACGCGTTTTGGACGACGCTGAGTTCACGGACGCGTTTAGGAGTTCACGGCAGTGAACTGGCCAACACGTCCATGAACTGGTCACTTTCAGGCAAATATGAAGACATCAGCGGGGAGAGAGAAAGGAGAGCTGGTTTTTGGAGAAGAAACACTTTCTTTCGCTAGGGTTTCAACCTAAACACCAAAGGGGAGTTCTAGTGAGGGAGAGAGTGCTAGAGTGATCTTGGAGCATCATTGGAGGCTTGGGTGGAAGATTCAAGCCTAGAAGAAGAAGAAGAAGAAGAAGAAGAAGAAGAAGATCTTGAGCTCAAATTTGTAATCCCTCTCTCTCTCTCTCTCTAGAAACTCACTCTTTTCTCTTGGGTATTGTACATCCCTAACTAATACTTTGTAATTACTTGTTTAGATTGAATGATTAAGGGAAAAAATCCCAAAGTACACACGTTCTTAAAAAAAATTCTCAAAATACATGAGTTATAAAAAAAATTCCCAAAGTACACATGTTTGAGCATCACCGCGTTTGACAAACACGGTGAAGATCATCACCGCGTTTGACAAACACGGTGAATAATTCATCGTTTTAAACAAAAACGGTGAAGTATTCACCGTTTCACACCAAAACGGTGAAGCTTTCACCGCGTTAATTAACAACGGTGAAAGCTTCACCGTTTTTGACCAAAACGGTGAAGCCTTCACCGTTTTTAACTAACGCGGTGATCATTTCCCACGTTTCCCACCCCTGGTAGGTCAAAATTAGGTCACAGCTACCACCTATTCACCGTTTGAGACAAACGCGGTGATAGTGTTCACCGTTTTTGTCAAAAACGGTGAATAGTAGGCAGATTTTCCTATAAATACCACACCACCAGCAGTTGTAAAAACATAAACACTCCCCTTTCTTCAAATTTCAGCAGCCAAAATCGAGCATAATACACAGAACAGAAATTTTTCGGTATGTTGAGACTTTTCGTATTATGGTCTAATTATGTTTTTAGTAGTTATAGTATGATTTAATTTTCGTATTATGATTTAATTTTCGTATTATGTTGTTGTTAGTTAGTTGAACTTATATTCGTTAGTTATAGTATGATTTAATTTTCGTATTATGTTGTTGTTTGTTAGTTGAATTTATTTTCGTTAGTTATGGTATGATTTAATTTTCGTATTATGTTGTTGTTAGTTAGTTGAACTTATGTTCGTTAGTTATAGTATGAATTAATTTTCGTATTATGTTGTTGTTAGTTAGTTGAATTTATTTTTGTTACTTATGGTATGATTTAATATTAGTTGTACAATATGATTTTGGTTAATTTTACTGTCTTTAAGCTAATAGATATTTATTGTAAATTGTAGATATGGGTAAATTCAAGAAGTTTCATCTTACTATTCGGTGGAATGGAAGGGTGACAAACTCTGACATAGGCATTGATTATGAGGACGGCGAATCCATTATGCTGAAAATTGAATCCCGATTCAATTTTCAAGAACTCTATGATCTTTATGCAGAAAGGGTTTGTACGAGCGGACAGACGAGACTTGGCAAAATTACTTACCGGTATCCAGACATGAGTGCTGGCGGGGTCGTATATCAAGAAGTTGTCATAAACGATGATGACGCGGTTATGATGATGTTACAGTTCCTAAGCGATAACCAAGTCCGGCTTGCAGAGGTGTATGTTGAGACCGAGGCGCTCGGTGAATCTCATTCTCACCAGTATTCTTATGATGATGGTTTTGCAGGAGGGTACGAATGGGGTGGTAGTTCGAGCAACTACCAAGGCGGTGGTTATACAGGAGATTACGGGGAGGGTGGTGGTTCAATCAACTACGGTGGATCGAGTAGTGCAGGATGGGACCAATACTCGCAACCTCCTAAACCAGCCCCATTTGTTGAGGCCGATGGTGTTCAATGGCCTGCTTGGGGGCCAGAGTGGTATGGAATCGAGAATACCATTCGATCAGGGCGTACTTCACATGAGCGAGAGGACGATGTTGGTGATCATGGTCATGTTGATCCTTCTAGCTCGAGCTATCCATTCGAGTCAAGCGACGAGGATACTGAGGAAGATTTGATATCAGTGAGCGAGGAGGAGGAAGATACTGATGATAACGAGGATGAGGCGGCATTTCGTGAGGCACCCACGCCATATTACACACAGGTTCCAACTCAATTTTTACATAGTCAGAATGATCCCCCCGACTTTGTCCCTATGCCAGTGTACAATCCAACGGCCAATCTGGAGGTGGGTATGGCGTTCACATCGAAAGACGCTGTGCAGGATGCATTTACAGAAGAGGCGTTGAGGCGCAATTTCGAGTGGAAGGTAAAATATTCTGACAGTAAACAATTACATGTCATATGCAAGCATGATGCAGAGGGTTGTACGTGGCAACTGCGGGCTGCAAATATGAAGAGAAAGGGTGCTTGGGTGATTCGCAAAGCTGAGACGATCCACACATGCTCCTCTTCTATACTTTCCCAAGATCACAGGCAACTAAAATCAAAGAAGGTTGGGAGAACTATTAAGCACCTTATAGAAGCACAACCAGATATCAAGGTAAAAGCTATCATGGCAGAGGTGAAGGATCGACATTCTTACACGATCAGGTACAAAAAAGCATGGCATGGTAAGCAGAAAGCCATGGCTGAGGTGTATGGTGATTGGGAGGATTCGTATGCTTTACTCCCTAGACTTATGGGAGCAATGGAGGAGTCCAATCCTGGGACTGTTTTCGTCCCAGTATACAACAATGTATACACTGAGGATCAAGTTCGAGTACAGGATAAGCTGATGTTCCATCGTCTTTTTTGGGCTTTTAAACCATGCATTGACGGTTTTGGGTTCTGCATACCGGTTATTCAGGTATTTTACCAACTAGTTCCGGTTTTAAATGTTGTATTATTTGCTGTTAAGTATATTTCATACTAATTATATCCT